ACATATTTTGCTGAATTTAAAACCAAAATACTATTCTTTTTCTATCATAAATTGATTGTTATTTATTTATTTGCCCTCTAGATTTTTTTCATTCTTAAAAGCTTTATTTATAAGTCAAATTAGTGCAATGTAAATATTTTACATTTTTACACAGCAATTCTTATCGGCAGTGAAGTCGTAAATTTTTATTACATCTTTGAGTGTGAGATAAGGTAATAATGCGATGACTAACTGGACTGGAAAGTTTAAGATTAGAGAAACATAATAATATGTCATGTTTATTGAAAATACTCAACACCATTAGCACGTGCAAAGCCTTACGAGGTTCATGAGGTTTTGAAACATTTTTACTATAAAAAATAAAGTGGTGAACTTTATTGCAGTTCCAACAAAAAAAAAACAATTACTAATAAAATTGTTTAATTACAAGATATAAACAGATTTATTTAATCTGTTGTTGGGTATATATAGCCATAAACATTTATGAGTCATAGAATTGATATTGAACAACGGTTTTTAAGGGTGTTTTCGCAGTTAAAGCACACTGCGATTTGAAGTAGGCGTATCACTTCTTACTTTTCTACACCGCTTACGTCAGGACCTACGTGACTTCCTAATTTGAAATCTGCAGTGTTATAACTTGTCTGGATGTTTACTCAGTGGCGCCGGCCCACGGGTTGTTTAATGACAATAAATGCATAATTCTACATTCAAATTAGTTTTGTCGGAATATTTTTTTAGATTGATTATCGTAGATATTGTTTTAAAAAGAATTATCACATTTTTAAGTTAATATGTCTTAGCTAACTATAGTATTGAATAAAAATTTGTGAAACGTTACTGCAAAAAACACCATGGTGTTTATTTATAATAAATTTAAAATAACATAAGAATATTATTATCAAAAACATTACAATTTGTTGTCACAAACAAATAAACAATTTCGCAGTTATAGCTTTAAAATGGTTTCTAGAAGTTATTTAGTAACTTATACTACTAAACTAATAATATATTACTTAAACATACCCGTAAACTAAAGAATTTCAATGTTTTCAAAATAAATAAGAATACTGTAAACTGTAAAAACTAAGCAAGTTGATAAGGAAAATACAAGAGTGAAGAACTGAAAATGGATTTTGATTCAAGCGAACTAACTGACCGTACCGTACGTTCATGAGATTTGACGTCACGAACGCGATAACGGCGACAATGATGAGTAACACGTTTCACTATTAGATTTCAGTATTTTTTAGCAATTTTCTTCAAAGTTGGAATACGCTTTTCTCGATTATTAGTGGACACAGAAAGGTGAAAAAAAATCAACGATTACAAAAAAAAAACTCTTTCAAATGATGGGCGTAAAAAGTTTGGTTATAATAGAAAGTTAAACAGTATAATCAAATTTTTTAGCAGAAGTTAAAAAAAAGTAAAACCATCATTTTAAAGGCAACATAATTTCGAATAACATGTCCAAATTTCGAGACATTTTGTCGGTAAATAACAGAGAAAAAATTTTGGTGCACCGATAAAACACCCTTAAATCATGTTTTCCATTTTATACCAACATGCATGTAATTTATATTGATGGAACTGTATGTAAAACTATTTTGATAACAATTTGCATCTATTGATAATAATACGTTTTGCATCAGTTTGTAATAGATTTGCTTCCTGCTGGCAGGTACATACATACATTTTATACAGCTCCGTCATATAAAATTTCAAAAAAACTGTTAGAGATTATTTTAGAACACACTAAATTTTCACCTAAATTTACCATAAAAAATACAATAAAAAATACAATAGAACTAGTTAATAAAATACAACATTTTCAATTACCAAACAACTCCAGATTAATTTCATTTGACGTAAAAAAATCTTTTTCCTAGTATCCCTCCTACAGAAACTTTTATTCTAGTAAAAAATCTTTTAGACCAAAATAATACAAATCCAATAATTACATCTGAAATTTTACATCTTCTTGAAGTTTGCATAAACCAGGTTTACTTTGAATTTATTAGTAAGATATATACAAATAACAGTGCAGGACTTATAATGGGTAATCTTCTAAGCCCATTGCTATCAGATATTTTTATGGATCATGTAGAGACAAAGATTTCGAAACATCCCGTATTCAAACAGTTTTTATATTGGTGGAGATACGTAGACGACGTACTGGTATGTTTCACAGGAACTAACAGGCAACTCGACCAATTTTTATCGTATATTAATTCACTTCATAATCATATTGAATTTACAATAGAAACAGAACAAAATCAATCCATAAATTTTTTAGATTTAAAAATTAGCAGACTTCAAAACAAACATGACTTCTCCATATTTCATAAACCTACCCATACTGACACGACTATACACAATTCGTCATCCCATCCAACACAACATAAACTGGCAGCTTATCATAGTATGTTACATAGATTAACAGAAATTCCGATGTCAAAATACAACTTTGAGACATAATTAAATATAATTAAGTAAATAGCAGTAAACAACGGATACAACGAACAAACAATTAATAAAATGTTAAATCAAAAACTACACAAGAAAGCCCTGAAATTAGTATTTCCACCACTAGAGAAAAAACCCAGTACCTTCTGCTCGATTACATATACAGGCAAAATAACAACAAAAATTGCCAAACACATAAAAAAGAAAGGAATAACACCAGCTTTCCGACAAATAACAACCTAGACAAATATATTAAAAATAACAAGAGCCAAAATAAAAAACACTTAAATAGTGGTGTGTACAAACTTCAATGTGGCGACTGCCCAAAAACTTATATCGGTCAAACTGGTAGAAACTTTGATAAACGTATAGCAGAACATAAAAGGGCTTTCAAGAATAGAAAAACAGATTCGACATACGCACTTCACCTTCTAGATCATAATCATTCTTTTAATGACAAATTTAAAATTCTTCACATTCAAAATAAAGGCCTTGAGCTATCTTTGTTAGAATCTGTGGAAATCAACAAATTAAAAAACACAGATATAATTCTGAATGACCAACTTGAGACAAACAGTTCTCCCCTCCTCAACCTATTTCATTAGAGACTATAAATTTGTAAACCCAAGCCAAAATAGATCACTTGAGAAAGGCAATCAGCCGAAACAGCTGTAGTGATAATATTTAAAATAAATTTTGTGGAAGTTTGAAAACAAAGTTTTCAGTGTTTTATTGTTACGTAAAATGAATTTCCGTCAAGTAACGGTCGAATCCATCAATTAGTTCCATTATGTTTCCTTGTCAAAATCTTAGCTTATCTTTGATGTCTGCAATGAGTTTACCATTATCATCTTTAAGTATTCTATAGTGTGCTCGCTTTTTGGTATTTGTTACTTCTTTTATTTTTTATGCATATTAAAGCTGTCGTATTTTCTGTCATAATCTTCATCAATCAATCATTATTTGTATGCATTGATCTGCTAACCACTTTTCCTTGGCCATTTTTATCTCTACTTTAATTCTACTTTGTAGTTCTTAATATTTTGGCTCATTTCTCCCTTTGGCTTTTCTCCTCTCTTCCATTAATGCTAGAATTTATGAAGTCATCTAGTAAGTCTAAAGTGCTTAATGTTATGGGCATAATACCGTTGTTAAGAGGGTTTTAGGTCAAATAATTTAAATCTAACATGAGACAACAATATTAATAACTTAGTACCTCTTACATAGGTCAATTTCTGTTTCAAAGCTAATATAAGCGCATCCTAGTATAATGTTTAAAGTAGATGTTATTTTCTCCGAGTATATTTTTATATTCGTTTTTGTTCACTAATGAAATTGTTATCTGTGGTGTGCTATTCATTTTTTAAATGAAAAGATACTTGAAACCACGTTAAAAACTACCATGAACTTGTAACTTTTTTAACGACAACTATTTGAACTGTGTTATATGGACTTAACACAGTGTTGCGCATTAATCCGAGGTGCACATATGCACTTAATTTCAATTTAAAAGAAAACGTCATTACTAAAAATACCAAACTGAAAACTGTACTACCAAATTTGATATTCTTTTCTCTCATAAGACACAAGGACTTGGTATAGTTTAAAATTAGCTATCTCTGTTATTATTACAGATTAGACTTAGTCATGGTGTCATATGAAACGAGATTTGATTCTCAATAATTTTCATTGATAACCCCATTTTGATTAAAATTGGACTTAATACACTTTTATTGTGAGGTACAGAAGTTAAAAACAACCTTAACTTTTAAAAATAAATCATCCACTCGAAACCAGTCATAGGGTTATTTGCCAGGCGAATCTATCAATAATTCATTTAATTTAATAAAAATAAAGTCTTTCATACCTTAAATAGTTTCTATTCGTGTATTTTCGAAAGCATCATTAGGTAACTCAATATTATTATCATCGGCAGTGTTATTCGATTAATGAATCAGTTTGAAAATTATTCTCCATGTCGTTTGAATAATGACATTAGATTCACTTTCTATTGTGTCACTTTCAGAATCCTTTAAGATATTAACTAAAAAAAGAATATTGATCAAAATAATCATTTTTTTCTTGTATATTAATACTTAGGTGTCGTAGTTTGATTCGTAATAAGTTTCTGTATCTGAATTGTACAAAATTGCATCACTTCCTCAACGGTGAGATTTTTGTATAATTTACACTTGTTTTCTACATATGATGTAAAATAGAGACTAACTGAACAAAATCTAAACGTTAAATAAATGTTAGCTAAATAGCAAACCAAATCCCCGAGAAACGGCTGCTATCTATTAACAGTATGTATATGAATATGAATAGTAAGGTACGTGCGGATAACATAAGCTGAACGTTGCATTGAAAGTGTTAGTGAAAATACAAAAATACTAGGATGTTTTAAACACAAAAATGTAATATGTTTTTACCTTTCTAGACACCAAGTTTTTTTTTAATGGCAATTAAATGTTTTAAATGCTAATAGATAGAGAAGAGAGATAGGGAGGTTAACTATTTTCTTTATTTTTCAGATACTTATGAGGTGATCTTTGACGATGGTTTTCCAAAAGTTTTAAAAGCCCACCGTATGGCAAAGGCTCTCGGCAGACACCTTCAATCTAGTCCCCTTTTTGAACCTATAACAACTACAAAACAGGATAGAAGGACAAAGAAACGGAAGTTAAATGTGGCAGCTCTATTCAAGAAAAGACGAAGGATTGCTAGTTCAGAGGATAAACAGAAGAGGAGTTCAGCTGCTAGTTTACCTCTCTCAGAAGAAGCTCAGGAAGCACTAATGAGTTTACCAGCGAGAGAGCTGACTGCCGAGGAAATTGAAAACTGGAAACCAAGGTTATTTTTTAAATGTTTTTTCTATATTCATAATTATTTATTTTCATATTTTATATTCATCTTCATATTTTCATATTCATAAAAAATATCCTGTGGTTAGAGGAAGTTTCTACAATACTTATTAATTTTAATACTTCATCAGCACACTAGCCTAAATCTGATTTTGTTGTGCTAGACCACCGTAGGGATAAACAGGAATTGGTATCCATCAGATGAACAGAGGAATCACAACTTATACCCAAAACGCAGATTTCCTGGTTTTACATTTATAAACATTTTTGCAGAGTGGCTTTCAAAATAGGGTACCATTAGGTCTATAGATAAACTATATGCGAAAATACCAAATTGCAGAACTTTTCGATTCATTATGTTGAAAAAGGAAAAAGTTTTGCAAATTTTTCATTTTTTTGATGCGCCGAAATTTATTTCTACTCATGCAGTTCCTATAGTTTATTTTTATGAACGAGAGAGTAATTAGCATAATTTTAACTGGTACCTCCGACCACTCCATGGGCGTGCTTAAGATTAATTGAAAAATTACTTTGAATAATTGTAAAAAATAAATGAATTATTTCAGTGTTATAAAGTGTTATGTGTATGTAAACAAAAGTGACCTCTTTTATCACACACTATATTAGAACTGACTGGCCTACATTAAAAAGGGTTTTAAAAAATTCACTTTTTTTTTAATTTTTAAAAATTACAAAAGAGAAAAAGAGTTTTTAAAACCGTCTAAGGTATGTTAAATAGATGAATAAAAATATTAATATAAAACTTACAGCTACTTGTTACAAATCCAAATCAGATTCAGAAGATGAACTTTCAGAACCAAGATTTATAATAACTGGCTCGATCATTTTATCAGTAATATTGTCCAGCTTCCACATTTTTTCCTCTTCTTTAATAGTGTGATTTACTGCCTTTTCCCAGTTTTCAGGTTTTACATTATTTATAAAAAAACTGTTTAACATCATGAATTTTAAAAGTGGTATTTTTTCTTGAAACTTCACTCTTTATCTGTGCCCATACCAGTTCAATCGGGTTTAATTCACAATGATATGGTGGGGATCTAAGTACTGTCATTCCACGATTTTTGGCAATTTCATCAATTTCGTATTTTTTAAATTTTTCTTTATGAAGGGCACACAACGAATAAAGTTCCTTTCTTATAGATCCGGGATGGTTCATAATATTTTTTGAACTCAGCCAATTCTGCAAGTCTTTTTTTAACCACTTGGTTGTGGGCAGTCCTTCTATAAGTCTGGAGTGATAACTTGCATTATCCATTACTATTACACAGTTCTTAGGAAGAAGATCTATCATTTGTTTGAACCATTCTTGAAAGACATCAGCGTTCATGTCTTCATGGTAGTCACCGGTACGAGTTGATTCAAAAGTTAATAAACCACCTTCAACAAAACCGTCTGAACTGCCAATGTGTACTATTATCAGCCTGCGTCCCTTTCCTGATGGTGGGTTTAAACCAGTAGATAAGTTATTTACAAAAGCATGCCTTTGACTTGTAACAGTTTCATCCTGCCAAAATTTATTTGGTGTATGACCCTCGTTGATCCATGTTTCATCAAGATAAAATATTTTTCTTTTTTGGTTTCTCATTTCCTTTATGGTTCTTAGAAAATGTCTTCTCCATATGACAATATCGCTTCTTTCTAATAAAATAGACTTTCTGGGATTCTTTTTCCAGCGGAAGCCTATTTCTTTTAAAAGTTTCCATAACGTACTTCGACTCATTTCTGGGTAATCCTTATCATCTCGAACTGAGACAAGAACTTTATCCAATGTTGGAAATTCTTGTCTAAAGAAGAATTCATTTACTTTCCGTCGAAGTCCTTCTTTAAAATGATATTCTATTTGAAATTTTGGTTTCCCTGGAGCATTACGTGGCATTTGAAAACTACCACATTTCTCTTCTTTAATAACTCTGTAAATCGTAGATTTCCCAACACCAAGTGTACTGCTAACTAACTCAACGGTCTCATCAACACTTTCACATAAACGTTTGTCTGTAAATGATTTAAAACAATTAAATATTAATGTTTTTTCATTAACTGTTAAAGGACCAATTTTTCGGCGTTTACACGGCACTTCCAAATTTTCCATAACACTAGTATACACAATAAACTGCACCTTGCAACTGAAGTACCTACTTTTAGTGAACTGTTAAGAATTTTGAATACGCCACTTGGACCTTCCTACAAAATGGAAAAACCCACTATCACATTTTCTGTGGAATAAGTTTAGAAGTTAATTATCTAGTCAATTACTGTCGTAGATTCCTGGAATTAAAGAATTAAATGTTTGATTGTTGAAACCCTTACTTCGTGGAATGCACTCATTTCAGATAAAATAAAACGTTTTATTTTATCTAAAGAATTAAACTTTATTTTGAAAATAGGTAGGTACTTATTAAACTTTTATTGGTTATATATAACCAATAAAATAAACATCTTACATTTCTTGCAAATTCATTAGTACCTGTTAACCTCCATCACTACGACACTGGCAACCTTATTTAGGGATTAGTAACCCTCACAAGTATTGTATTCTATTCTGCTCCAACCTTTATACCTGGTGGTCATACTCAATTTAAAATTGTTTTCCTATATACTTCTGTAAACTTGTTGACAAATATCTGTTTTTCATTGAGTCACCCGTATCAACAGTTTAGGGATTTGCATACATAATTTATTGTTTTATTACTCTCTCATACATAAAAATACACTATAATGAATGTCACGTTCTAATCCTGGTCTTTGCTCCAGTACATATCTATGTGTGGCAAGGTGTGATTATTGTCAATAAAAAAATCTAAAATAAAATGGTGCATTTTCGCACCATTGACGCCAAATCGGTTAAGCACTCAAAATATGTGAGATAAAACATTGAAAGTTTATCTGTGGTTCAGTTCTGATCTTGACGAAATAGGTGTATTTTATTTCCGCACATTAAACTTTAAAATAATTATTGATGAAGAGTATTTTGTATTTATACATATAAACAATATTTGATGATATTTTTGGCGATACCTGTTCGTTTTCATTGAATTTTGTTTTAGTTGGTACAAGGGAAAGCCAGTCGGTATCGAATCCACTCTTAAAACGCAAGACGGCTTAAAAACATCCTACATTGTACCAGATCCTCGTCTTCCAGAAGGATGGAACAAGCATATTTTGAAAAAGAAAGGCTTTCCTGGAAAATGGGATACTGTCATTGTTAGGTATGTTTTACTTAATTTAGAGTTAATGACTTAAATTAACACAATCATGTTAAACTATCAGAGTACTGGAATCTAGATATAATTGTAGCTATTCAAAGGCAAAGTTTAGGTTGGAATTGAAACTCATTCTGGAACATCCCAGAACCCACAATGGGTTTTAATGGGCCAAGGATGATAACAATGGTGATTTCAAATTTAGCAGTCTTAATGATTTTAGGTTTTTCTCCACTTGGTCTTTAAACCTTACCCTTGTCCTATCTCTCCATCTCCTTACAACCGCTTTTTGGTAATATAGTGTTTTGTAGGTTCCTTCTAATTCATTTTCTCTACATAGTGCAGCTATCGCAGCCTGAATTTTGATAGATCGTGACATTGTAGCGACTGAGCAATACTCCATTCTCCTACACACCTTTGTAAATCTACCTAAATATTAGACGTTCACAGCAAGCGTTGGGTCTGTCAGGCCTCACCCGTCTGCTAGGAGGTTAAAACAATATCCAAGCGAGGTCCAAACGGATCTCATTTTTTTTAGCAGTCAATGTCTCTATTTTATTTTTTTCCAATTGTTGTTTTAAAACCAAAATTTCATGCCATATCTTTTGAAGACTTGGCTTGAACAATGAAAATTCCATAGTGACCGGTTAATAAAAAAATGGCAAAAATCGCTCAACGTTTATTTATTTAACACTGTTATAATAAGAAAGCTGCAATCTTCACCTTTAAAACGCTTTTTGATTTTTGTCCATAGGATACTCTGATCTAAATATATTTATAGATATAGACTTTTTGGTAGCTATTAATTCTCTTTTTATTTATAAAAAAATCTATTGGCTTACCACTGCCTTCCTGGTGCTTCAATTCCAAGTACCGCTTCAATTTTGAAGGTGTCATGGACTCATTTGAAAGTGCAGTATAACAAATAGCATCTAATGCTTTGTCATCAGTTCCCTTTACAAAACCGAACTGTAATTAATCTTCAGAATATTGTCTGCTCCAGGACTCCTTCTTTTTCTTTGTGGCAGTTGTAGACTGCGCATCGAGTGACCGTTTGTAATTACAACTCGTACCTGCCTCTGGATGGACATTACTTGACTGTCGTATTATTATTGTCGATCTTAGAACCTGTACCCGGCTGCATATCACTCGACGGTTTGTTTGTTCAAGTCTTAGAACTTATACTTTGTTTTATAACAAATTTATCCATAGTCAAATGCAGCGTAATTAATATGCACGAAAAATACGCACCCTTTGGCTTGACACTAAGCTTAAACTAAATGGAATAAAAGAAGCGGATTAAATAAAAGTAGTGGCGGAGAGGCGAGGCGACCCGGCATCTTGCTTTCGTGGCCCGGTACCCGGTCGCAACCCACCATTTGGGAAATTCTGCTCTATTCGATTCACGTTGGATTGAAAGAAAAATAAAAAAATTGCTTTATTGGAAGCTGAGAAAATACATTTTTTTACGTATATCGATTTTGATATTTAAAATTAAATTTTCTTCAACCGATTTTTTTGATAATTTTCACGCGCAATACCGATTTTAATGAACTTTTTTTGGACTGTTTTATTATGTTATAGATATTTTTCAGACGAGTTATGAAGGTCTTAAGTGCAATCTGAATTGTTGAAAAATATTCAACAAGAAAAGGCTACATTCAACAACAAGGCTAATAAATTATAACATTATTAACCAACCGTATCTTATAGAAACATATTCGCCCTAGTCTATTTGTGAATCTACAGAACAGTTACAGTCATTCGG